TAACTCTTGCAGTGGGGCTACTCCCCACACTGCAAGGGTTCAGTGCTTGTTTTTGTCTAGGTACAAAAATAACAGTTCTACTCACCCGCTGCTCGGGGAGTGCTTGCTCTTAGACCAGTCCATTCTGTCTCACTTCCCCTCCGCGCCAGCGTTCTAAGGTCCAGTGAGCCATCATATCCTATACACAGGGTATAGGACATGGGGACACCGAGGGACCATCTAGGGTTGCCACCTTTTCTTCCATCGAAACTCGAACACTCCATCGACGCACAGAAATTTCTTTGGAGAATGAGTCGCGGCTTATTATATGTAAATAGCGCCACCCATTCATATGTAAATATCACAGTCGGGACTATTTTCAGTGGGGGGCCAGTGGCCCCTATCTTAATTTTGGCTGCCCCTGTCTGCCTGACATCTTGTGTCCGGGTTTCCGCTGCCATGAAACCCTGACACAACATTTAAAACCCGAACTGTCTGGGTGAATCCTGGGCAGGTGGGAAACCCTAAGACCATCGCTGCATCGGAGGGGGAGAAAGGCTCCAGGGACCGGTCTATGAGCAACCCGGTATTGAGGAGCTGGCGTGTATAACTTTGTTATTTTCATCCCTAAACAAAAACAAGTACTTAATTCTTGCAGTGCAGAGTTCTGCTTTAAATACACATATAGTCTTATAGGAAGATTTTTGTTGTAATGAATGGTCCAATGACAGGGTTATCTTTAGGGTTACTGTAGACAGTGGCAATGGCTAGTGATGTCATCTGAGAAACATTTTGATGTTTCCTTGGTAGTTCCGAAGTAGACAATAGTGCAGATGTCTGTCCTCTTTCTCTCTCTCTGGATGGACTTTATAGGCAGTTTATGAAAGAGTCTATTGTATGCAGGGAGAGTGATACACACGCCTTGATCTGCTGACTGCACGGAATCCAGTAACAGCTGCTCTGTTCAACCAGTTTTCTGTGCCAACCCTGATATATGGGTGTGCAAGTGAAAGAAGCCGCCAGTATGCATACACAAGCGTGAAAAGGAGCCTGCCACATACCAGCCTGCAGAAGAGGAAGAGGGGAACTGTTCACACCCTTCACTTCTTCCTGCCTGTCTACTCACTGAGGATCAAATCATCCAGCTTTGGAATTACAAGACCCATTCTATCATTTATGGATAGCCCTTTAGAATTTTTATTTTCAATGACTAAATAACACAGATGAACTTACACGGTGCGACTAAACTGTTTTGTTCAAATGCAGCATGCGTTCCGGTGTTCATTCACAGCATCTCTGTGTAGTAGAACCCTGCTACTGTTCTCTGGGGTTTTACTAAGTGACCATTAACATGTATACAAAAAAATAATAATTGCAGCTGACTAGTTCTTAGATGTGGTGACTGCATTAGTTTTCCTTTTTTCATGCTGTTTTCACTTTATTTTCACCTGATAACGGTGCAGGACCCGTGCATCCTTTATCGCTGCAGCAGCTAAGTTCAGCAATGCTGCCTTAGGGCAGGTTCACACCATTTTCCGGACCAAATGGTGTGAACCTGCTCACAGTTCCAGTGCATTGCAGACCAGACAAAATGAGACATGCAGTATGTTTCTGCTCTGGTCTGGAACGGTGGTGTGAACAGAGGCCAGAAATAGCACAGGGATACATTAGGATGCATTTTGGGTCTGGAAACAATCTGGTCGGGTCTTGAGACGATCTGGATGTGGTGTGAATGGCCCCTTAGGGCAGGCAGAGCGCACTTCGCATGCACAGGTCTTAAGAGAGGGGAGGGAAAAATGTTTTTAAAAAATCACCCATTACAGTGATACAGGGAGCACACCAAATCACAGGCAGGATGGTGTGGATTGCTCCTAGTAGTAGCTTTTCAGCAAATATACTTATCTGATCCTTGGCCCCGCCTGGCTCTGGACCAGTCACTGCAGCTTCTTCTCCCCTGCCCTCCAGGTCCATTGACTTGCATTAGACGAGAGGATGCCAAGGGGATTTCACAGTCAAAGCGGAGGGGGGGAGAGATGAGTGCCAACTGCCGTAGGACTTAGGGTAAGTATATCTGCTTAATTCTATCCCCCTAGACAAATGACCACCTAACCCTTCCAGTGCAGTAGTAGCCCCACTGCAAGGGTACATTTTTTAAATTATCCCCCTTCAGCTTTAAATCCAGTGTAACAATTGCAAGCAGCAGTATGAAAACACTCCACTTCATCACCATGAACTCAGAAGAACTGTAATGTTGTAAACATAAATGAATTGATGTTTAAACTTGTAACAAATTAGTATTAGTTCACATCCATAGTAGATTCATTCCATACATAGCAAGTGACTGTAATCAGTGGGGTGATGGATCTGTTATTCCCCGTCCACAAATGCACAACTTTCTCCTCCAGTGGAGCAGATTATAATCCAGTTTAAGGTAAATATGGTTATCCAGAGGGCGTGCATCCAGAATCAGAAGGCACCTTCTTCAACTGTCTGGGCTACAGTGCACATATTTTCACGCTACGTAGAGCTACTTTTGGCATGGACTTCGTAGCTGCTACATTGGGCTGTATCCAATCAAAAGCGGTCTTGATGTGACATAATTCCTCTTCCTGTTTCCTGCTTATGTTCTTGCTTATACTTCTGTGCAAAAGTGACACTTCTGTAACGCGACAATGTCGCACAATGCCGCTCAAATACGAGCGACATTGAGCAACACCTTTGAAGTCTATTGGGCCAAATCGCGTGAAATCTGCCAAAAATAGGTCATGTTCAAGCGACAAGCTTGAGCTACAAGCTACAGGCGACATTGAGCTGTGATATGTAAACAGCTCCATTGAAATGCATTGGACAAGCAACATTGAGCTACCTTGAGCTGATATTTGAGCGATTTTTGAGCTGAAATCGCGCTACAAAATCGCTCAGTGTGTATGGGGTAAGAGCAAGCTGGCTCTGAGGATCGGGTGAGTATAACTTTGTTATTTTTTAACCTAAACAAAAATGATCACTTAACCCTTGAAGTGCAGATGTAGCCCCATTGCATGGGTTAAGAAAAAAGTTTCCCCCGAGTTCTGCTTTAAAATAGGTGTCGTGACTGACATGCAAAAAAGAAAAGTCCACCACTGTACCTGTAAATGTTTTAATGTAAGTGATGCAAATATGGCACAGTAAGCCTGAAAAGTCAAATTAAAAGATTGCAAAAGGTTCTAAACATGCGCTCACCAACAGAACATTTCCCCTTTAAATTAGGCCAAGGCGGCATATTCTAGCAGCTGACGTGAGGATTCGGGTCTCGGTAAAATAAAATTATTATAGAAATAAAAATAGGCTGCCCCAGTTTAGTGGGGATCAGAGGGAGTGCTCTTGCCAGCATAGTGCAGGCTGGATTGCAGCTGGGAAAGCATCAAACATCTGCTAGCCATAAAAGGTGTCATTATCACGTCCCATTTGCCAATCTGCTGTGAACAAACTATTTTCTGAGCTCTGTTTGCCAAGTCTTGAAGGACGAGTCCCAGCGTGTGCTTGTGATTGCTGGCACCAGCGACAGTGGTAGGCTGAGAAGGGATTCTTCCAGGACATCAAAGGAAGAGCCAGGTAATGCCTCATCCGTGTTATTAAAGGGAAACTGGTATGAAATCAGCGGAAAATGTATGCTTTCATCTACAGTGATTATGAAGTCACATGGTTAAAAAGGTACAAATGTACCCCGGCTTCCAGCAATGAATCAGCTGTTTATCTCATCTCTGAAGTCCTAATAATATAATGAAATCTGTTCTTGAGCAGCTGCTTAGGAATCAACCCAATGGCCACCCTCACTCTAGATATCTAAAGTAACGAGTCGTACACTATGTATCTTATTATTTATGAGTAGGCATAGCAGTGAAACACAATGGGCCAGATAAATGGAGACTTGTTATTTTGGTGCATCGCATGTCAAATAATAGGATTTTTGTACACGGCGTAAAATCCTTTTCATTGAAGGACACAGCAGAGATCTTTAAATCGTGACTGTTGGGTTATAGCACCACCTTAACAATCATCAAGGTCTAAAGAGCTCCTCTGTGTCCCTCAATGAACAGAAGAGAGAAACTATTTGGTGCACCGTCTGCAGTTTATCTTGCCCAATGTTTTATCAGAACTGTGACCTACTGTAGTATTTCCAAGCTTTGTTCAGTCTTTGGCACATGGCCATTTGAATCAACTTTCTTATCACTAGAGATGAGGCTGGGCTTGGTGTGAACCCAGTTTGCCTAAGCCCACTCAAAACTAATGATTGGGTCTGGAGGAGGGTGTGGTGGTAAGGGTTTTAAATGGGCTTGGACAAATTCAAGGGGAACTGGGTTCACCCCAAGCCATGGCCTCATCACTACTTATCACAACCTGGGGTGTTTGAGGGGTATATTCCCCTGTCGTAATTTCCGTCCCCCACATCTGGGACTTTCCAATTATTGGGGTCTTTAACATTTTGGTAATTCACTGAGGGAACATGACCCTAGCATGCATTTGTGTGGAGTTGTTCTTTAACCTTAAAGTCCAACCAAAACTTTTTCATTTTTTTAGACAGAGTGGGGAAGGAATGGAAACTGTTTTTTTGTGGTCTGTGGCCCCATTGGGATAATTTCCATCTATTCAGGACAGGGATTGATGGGAAACCGGTCAAGTCATTACAGAAACTGCAACAAAATGCAGTTTTGGTAAGCATGGAAGGGTAATAATAACAACAACAACAACATTGTTGTTAATAATAAAAAGGATAATCATAATAACATTATTGTTATTATTATTGTATTAGTGACTTCCTCCCCCATTTCTTATCCTGCTTTCACAAAGAAAAGAAAAGAAGGTGGAATCTCCAGAACTGGGTCACAGATAACAATTATAACTTGACAGAGATATTAAACTTTCCCTAGTCTATCCAAAATTCAAAATAAAACAAGTTTTGGCTAGAGTTGAACTTTAAACCTGCCAGTGTCAGGCTGTTACTGTATGCACAACAAAAACATAACATATGTAGAATGGCTCACCTTCCAGAATCCTTTCTGCTGTCCATACTGTCTCCTCTTCTCCTACTTCCGTCACTCCCATACTCCCCATCCTGGAGCATGAGGACCTCGACAGGAATGCTAGCTCCCTCACTGCTTGTGCTGCCCCTATGAGACATCCGCTCTTGGCTGGCACGTAACAGAAGGCTGGTCTGTGATGTGCGTTTCATGGCTTGCAATTTAGCCAGTGGCACAATGTCACATTGAGGCGGGCGGTGCCAAACGGTCTGGTTAGTCAGGGCATTGTAGTAATAGAAGCGGCTGCTCTGATGGTCGTACAGCTCCCACCACTGGTTCTTATTGCACTGGCGCACCTGGACATCTGAAGGAGGCTCCCAGCCACATTCTCCAGTGGTCAAGTTCACGTACATGCGCTCACGAGAGCGTGGCTCGATGATCTCCACCCAGTCTGAGCTGCAAGAATAAAAATAAAGATAGTCAATAGGAGATTCATCCTAGTTTGCTACCTGCACAATATTATACTATTGAACTTTAAAGATACTCCTAGATGGAATCTTAAAGAATTGTTCCTCTAAAGAGAGAAATCCCTGGTGGACAGCAAGGTCACCAGAACTAGTGTCCCATTGGAAGATTTCCCATACTGTATATTCCTGTTCTGGTGACATCCCAAAATGTGCGATTTTTTTCACTTTCAATGATAAGAGTCCGCAGGAAAAAGAGAGGGTGAATCTCCCTAATGGGGACACAACAGATAGCTATAAAAACCTGAAAGGGTTTCTAATCCTTCCCCCACCCTATCCAAAACACACACAAAAGGGTTTTGGCTTCAGTTGCACTTTAAGAGACAGTGAAACAGATACCTATACTTAAATGTACTGCTGATCTAACCAGATCACCCTATCCTGCTTGGGTAATCATTTAATGCGTCAAAACCCCCAAAAACATTGTCAGCCATGTCTTTAAGGGCCGGTGCACACCTAGGCGACACCTCACCGCGCTGCAATCGTGCACGATGCCGTGCATGGTCAGGAATCGCCTAGGTGTGCACCGATCGCGCTGATGGTGCCAATATTTTGTAATGGCACCCCAGTCACGCCGGCAGATCGCGCGGGATTCCGCCCGTGCTAAAACAGCCGCGAGTCCTGTGTCGCAAAAAAGGTACAAGCGATTGCCGGGTGGCTGTCACCCCATTGAAATCAATGGGGTCGCGTGGCAATCGCTGCCTGCATCGCTTAGGTCTGCACCGGGACTAACAGAGCAAAGGAAAATGCAGCTGGGGCAAAAAACAGCAGCATAAAAAAAGAGCTCTTGGTCACAAATTTATGAGCAACCACAACGTCACTTTGAGACACTACTGTAAAGTTGGGCCATAAACTATGGAATCTCATAAATCAGGTGTAGGGTCACATTTCCTTTAAAATAATCATGTGTGTATATATATAAATATATATATCTATATATATATTTTTTTATTTATATTTAGGGGTGTGGTGTCATGGTTTCTTTGGTGGTTCAACTACTTTGTATATGATTTGCTTTTATATATGAATGCAGCTTCCCATTTTCAAATGCAAAAACCCCCGAAACATCTGTTCTCTTTCCTGCCTAGTAGGGTGCTACCATATTTTCATATTGTTCGTTGGCAATGTTTGAATGTAAATCACAAGCGGTAAAATGCTGCTTCCTTTGTCTAGAGAATGGGATGATCACTAAGCTAAAACACATTTTACAACATGTTGGAGAATACTTCCTATTGTTTGGCCATTAACTCCTACACGGTATCATCAACAAACATCTGGCTGTGTATGGGAGGCCTTCAATCCTCAACGTTCTGCTGGTATACAGTGCTAAATCCAGAAGCCAACAAATCTATAAAATGATAGGTTTAGGTAGTACAACAAAAGGCAAAAGGATCCGAGCATGTTTGCATATCTGAAAATAATGGGATTCACGCACCTAAGCTCATAAGCTACTGCTGAGGTCACCAAATTGTGTTCAGACTACAAAATTGGTGGTATAAAGCACTTCAAAGGATTAACAGTAAATCTAAGCAATTTCATCTCATCAAAACACCGTCAAAAAGGTACAAAAGGACTGTGGTCACATCTGAGATTGTAGACCAGAGCAGGAAATGACCTCTAGCTTCCTTCAAACCATATGCTCCAATCCTGCACTTTGTTAAAGTGCATGTCTAGACAAAAAAAAAAAAATATTCAGTACATCTCTGCAACACATACCCATCTACCCATATTTTGTGTCTTTAACGATTCTGCTAATACAGAAATCCAGTGAGCACCTAACTTCCTTTTGAGCTGATAAAGTGCCTCTGATGCACTTCAAAGCCAAGCACTCTTAGGATTTGCCAAGGCCTGGACTATAGAACACAACCCCTTATAGAGATGAGAACAGGAGGTGGTGGGGTGGACAAAATAATATGGAATTTAGTAGACAGTCTGTCCAATCCAGGATCCAGCAGAATTGAAAGCCAGCTCCACGAACAGCTAGAGAAAACCTCAAAAGTTAGGCGCCAGCTGTAATTTTTAGGGAGTTGTAACTACCTGGGCCCTGGGACTCTGGCAGGGCTGTCAACACAGCTTGGGATTTCAGTTCTGCAGAGGCACTGCGTTGTCAGCCCAAACAGGAAGTTAGGAGCGCACTAGTCGTTTGACACATTAATTGGTATTTTTACGTACTTGGACCATTTAAAGGGATAATACATCGAGCAATGTACATGTATGGGAGAGATGTACTGTTTTTTTTTTGGGGGGGGGGGGCAGACATGCATTTTAAATATTTTATGACCCTGGCAGTAACATACATAAACAAGAAGCATTTTTTTCCACAGACAGGCTGAACTTTTCCTTATATTGTACTGGGGTCATGTTATTTTAGACACAGACAATTCCATTTGCTATTTTGCCATCACATACCACCATAGTTTGTTTTAGAAACAGGATTCTGGCAGCGGTTGTGGCAAGCCGAGTGTTGTCAGTGCAGCAAGCCGTTTACTTTTACTAGCCCATCTAGAAAAACAATGTAAACAGTTGTTGCTGTTAATTTTGTCCGCTGCACCTTGAACTCCCAGCATGTCCAGTCCCACCTGCCGAAACTTGGTCTGTGCTCCACTCCATGGGCTGCGTTTACCCTCAAGTTAACCATTAGCCACGACTTCACTCAGGGTCTACTGAAAGAAAACATCACCTAAGCCAAAAACCTTTTGTATGTTATGTCGCAATCCACAGTAAAATCATAGTGAAGAAAATGACAGAATTTGACCCTTTTATACAAGTTCTGCCCATTTAATAGGAGTGATGTTATGGCAGTGTTGTATAGCCGTATGTACGCCATGAAGTGTACCAGCTCTCCTTGGCCTTCTTGTCACCATTAAGAATGATCTGAAGTCAATGAAAGGTCTGTGTTGCAGGAATTCCAAGCGATTTGTAGCTCATTCCCTCAACAACTGACTTTTCACAATGGTGTGAATGGGTCCTTTCAATCAGAAGTTAGGGTTTTTAAAGAAAAAAAAAATCTACCAAATTGCCAGGAATCTTTCTCCAAGTAATTTTCATTATTATATGTAAAGTATATTGCCTGTGGAGCATGTGCAGAGAAATGTACACTTTCAGGATTATGTAACTGCAGCAAGCATGCACAGGAGCTATATCCATTCACATGGGATGATCTGCCATTTCTGTGGCAAGAACATACAAATTTCTGCAGCAGGAATCCCAGGTGCCCCATTCAGAAGTGGCCACTGTGCCCATTAAAGTAAGCGGCAGGGTGACTGGCAACACCCGTCAGCGACAGTCCGCATGTAATCCTACATGGTACGATTACATGTGATTTGGGACAGATAATCGTCCCTGGATGCAGGATAAATGTGTGCAGCGACAACCATCTATTTTAGATTGTAAGCCCTCACGGGCAGGGCCCTCCTCACCATCTTGTCTTTGAATTGTATTGTGATTGTAATGTCTTCCTTATATTGTAAAGCGCTGCACAAACTGTTGGCGCTATATAATTCCTGTATAATAATACTAATAATAATTCCAAACCACATGTAATCGTACCATCTATGATTACATGCGGACTGTTACTCACAGATACGGCCGTTGTAACTTTAGTGGGTAGAGCAGCCGCATTTGAACGAGGGCACCTGGCATTTCTGCCGCAGGAATCCGTAGGTTCTTGCTGCAGGAATGCCAGATTGTGATGTGTGAATGGGGCCTAAGACAGAGCTGACTGATCACATGACCTCTGATCAGTTAGCTCTCGGTCATTGCCCCCAGTGGAGAGCAGTGAATGTCATTGCCTCCTGCAGGGGATTCCCACCTCTCTGCTTCTTTAGCAATGGCTACATACATAGGTGGGACCAGGTGCCACGAGCTCCGTATCTCAGCCGTGTGCAGAGAGGCAGAGCCATCTGTCAATAATTAGGCAGCTGGGGTGGATCCCAACAATATTGCCGGGATCATTTTTGGCCGCAGTGCGGCTCTGCGCTGTCAGCTGATAGCGGGCATAAGCCCAACATCTGCTGACTTTGTGTCAAAGGGGTGCAAATGTACTGCTGTGACTCCAAAAAAAAAGTAAAAGGTTTGGCTTCACTTCTCTGAAAAGGTAGCTACAGAATTATCTGCTATAATGGTAAACAATGTTCTCCAATGCAGCTGCACATGACCTTCGTACAGCAGAGAATTGGAGCTTCCTAGAGAAGCATTGATTCAGCAGCAACTCTGTCTAGATACAAATGACCAGAGAAACAAGCAGAGACGTTTGTAGCTGCTACAAAATTGCTCGTGTCACATAACCCGACACTTGCAGAAATCAGATACAAATGGGAAATCCATATTTTCACACCGCTGGCTAATACCAATAGGCTTGTATACACGTTGTTATTATTATTATTATTCCGGATTTATATTGCACCAAGAGTTTGTGCAGGGGTTTATAAAATGAAGGGAGACAGTACAGTTACAATTCAAAACAGAAGGGTTAGGATGGCCATGCCTAACATGAGTTATGATGCATGGTAACATGTGCATCTCAAGCTATTCATTCTGAATAGCACCCAATGCACATATGCAATATAAAAACAATGTTCCTGCCCTTCAGCCTGCCACAAAACACTAATGTCAATTAACTGTGTGCTGTGCATTGTGGCATGCTGACCAAAAGATGTAGAAGTTTTGGGGGTTGTTCACACCATCTCCAGACCAGATCTGGAAAGGCGTATGTTCATTTTGTATACATTTGTATTCATTCCAGTGCATTTTCATTGTTCTTAGCTGGTTTTGGTTTGGTTTTAAGCATGTTCCAGTGCATTCCGGTGTGTTTGCATACGTTTACGTACATTTTGGTGCTTTCCAGGGCAGAAAAAAAATGCAGCATATTTTTTTTTTGTAGGAATGTAATGTAGGGATCCCATTCTTATCCTTCCTGTAGTATGGAGGTGG